TTGAACATGATTGAACTGAACCTGAACCTGAACTTGACCAAAGTTCGGTTTCAGTTCGGTTCATAGGAACACTAAATGAGATAAACTGAAGGTATAAGTTTTTGTTTAGCTCCACATAGAAAATCATAATCGGAGACAGTAATAGGTTCACTAAGTGATTGGATACTTTTAAAGGTTCTACCGACTGCTGGCACACCTAAGCCAACCTTAGCTTTATCATCTTGTGAGATGATAAGGCTATGGTTAGCAAAAGTTACAGCGAACTCTCTAACCATTTTAACCGACGCGAGACAGTAATGTTCATCCACATGAAACTTCATTTCAGAACGAGAAATAGCGCTTATTTTAATTTGTGCAGGATAATGGTGGCGCTTTGCTTGACGTGAATTGGGATGTCAGGGTAAAAGATATGTTGAAAGAGTTTGTCGTGTGAGGTAAACATTATACTTTTCTTGTAATGCTTCCTTTAAATGTTTGATTGTGCGAACTTTAATCATGGTCTTTTTTCTTTTTTTTTCTGCTGCACCAAATTCAACACAATCATGAATTTGATCAAGCAATTCTGGATTTTTTTGAAATTCGGATGGGCACCCACTAGAATCATACATTACGACAATGCCTTCGTTAAGTTGTTTTCTTTTTTTTTCTCGAAGTTTTGATTGAGACTTAGCATGGCTTTTTAATAAACCAAGATGTTTTTTTTCCTTTTCAATAACAACACGACTATCCCTTAACTTCTCATATATCTGACGCCTAAGATCTATGTCATTAGCATTTAACAATAGATTTTCGTATTCATTTACTTTAGTTTCAGCTTCTTTAATTAGGGTTAAAGCCTGACGTTGGGATGACGCATTAGGAGCAAGAATATGTCCTTCATTAGTCGAAGGCAATGAAGAAATTGCAGAATTTGAGATTGAGTTTGTATTTAAAGAATTTGATAAGTTAGAACTATATGAACCAGGTGGTAGAAAAAAGTTTGCCGTTCGCATAATAGGCGGACTTGCTGCAAGATACTGTTTTATTTGGTCTCTAATAGTTGTTTCAGATTCGGTTCGACATAGTCGCCATTCTGTATTTGCTGCATCTATTGAATCTTGCCGATTCATATTTGGATTACAGGCTTTTACCATTTTAAAAAACGCAAAAGCGTTACAAAATTCTTGGTATAAATTTTTAGGAGTAATATACAAGTAAGTTTTTGAAAAATTTGGCATTGAAAGAAAGCTTTGTGTCATTTCGAATTGCTATTAACATGAATTTTCTATTATATACTATGCTATGGGAGAAATAAATGAGAAATGAATTACAAATCGGTTTGGTGCTTTCTATTTAAATATCTTTGCTTACGAATGGCCTAACTCGGTGACTATGTGAATATAGATTCTAAAAGAAAATAATATAATTTTAAAATTTCTTTTTGAATTCGCCACATATCTATAACTGATAAATAAGATATTCTGTTGGTCCAATGCTGGGTAAGTATGACAAATATTGGTAATTGGTATTTTGAGTGATGACCAGATTGAAGACTCTTTAGTCAGTTAATATGACTATTTTTGGTCCTATTTACGAATCCTGGAATTATCGCTGTTTTCGAAATGATTGAGAATAGCAAAATTTATAAAAAAAAATTTTTTTATACGAATACCCGAAAGCCCGATTAGTTTAGAACATTGAAACAATTATGCGAGTGCATATGTAAATTCGAATCGATTATCGATCAGTGTTCTAAACTAATCGGGTTTTCGGGTATTTGTATAAAAAAAATTTTTTTTTGTAAATCCCGCTATTCTCAACCATTTCGAAACAAAAAAAAAAAATTTGAAATTTTCTCCCACATGTGCTGTACGTGTATAATTAGAATCAGGAAAATATAACCTTTATTAATATATTAGAGATATTCTTGTTTTTGATTTATAGATATTTATAGAAATTACATTATTCTGTGATTCAAGATCATTGTAAAAAAGGATATTGGCGATGCAAGTAAGTTACAATAATTTTATTTGGTAAATTTTTATGGAGTTCAATTTCCGGTATTATCTTTTAACATCTAACTTGTTGAGTGTATAATGTAGATTTTAAGTAGTTCTTGGCATTATTTGGATTTATTCTTATCATGTATCTATACTCGCATTTGTAAAATAGATCAAGTTTTCACCTGGCATCATTCGCATTTTATTAAACGGTTTATGGTTTCAGGTCTTGTAAATCAGGTTTTATCCCACTATCATATATGTATATGGCATTTCTTCGCTAATATTTAATTATGATTTGCGCAATTCTAAATTTTATAAACTTGAATTATTTCGTAGCATTTATCCGGTATTGACTGATGTAATTAATAATTATTATATAAAAGGAATTATAAAATATCAAATATAGAGGCAAATAATCCAATTATTCGTAGTGATATTTTAGTTCCACCTTATTATTAAACATAAATGGTGACAAATATCCCGAAAGGCGTGATGAGATAATAGAAATAATGGATATCAATCTAATATAGCATATATATCAAGTATCGACGGACAAAGATGCAGAGTACAATTTGCTTTAGAAATAACAAGACCCGAATCTAGTACATTTCACCAAATTTAGACTTATAATAGACCGGGTCTCTTGTATGGCGTGGGTCTGGGGTTAATTCTTATTATTGCATACAAAACCCGGGTCTAGTATGCCTTTTTATATTTTACTAAAATTTAATCTTATATTGTAACTTGTGTATAGTATATAGAGATCTAAATTTATACTATCACATGGGGGGTAAGGCTCTATAATAAAAATATATTACGTGATTAACTGTGCTCCCCTTAAAAAACGTCTTGTGCACATATAAAATTCCTTTAAACAAAGTTCTTTTTTTAATTGGTAATCCACCAGTCAACCAGAGAATGATCATAGTAAAATGTGACTGGTGGATCACCAATTAAAGGAATTTTATATGTGCGCAAGACGTTTTTTAAAGATATCTCAAGAACTACTAGGCCGATTTTGATGCTTTTATACTAGTAGATGTATCTTGATAAGCTCTACAACTTTCAATTAATTGACAAGATTGATTGTCTTAGTAAAAAAAAAGTTTTAGATATAGCA